AGTATTAAGTAGTGTGGGACAGCACGCTGATATGTTTGCAGAAAGGTGGGCAATGCGGACAAAAGATGTTGGAAAGGGTGGAGGATGAAATTTGACAAAAAGAGAAGACACGTAATACTTAATTTACCCTATTATTTTGATTTGACACGTTTAACTAACAAATCAATTCGAATTTTCGACAAGCATCAAAGTCAAGGGGTAAACTACCATCCCAGAATTTGTGCAAACAATTCCTCAAAATTCCTGCAAATTCCTCCAAATTTCCCACAAATTCCTCCAGATACCCCTTCACAAATTCCTCCAAATACCCCACCACAAATTTCTCCAAATACCCCACAAATTCCCCTAAATTCCCTGCAAATTCCTCCAAATTCCCGCAAATTTTTCCAAAACTTCTCTCAAATTCTTCACAAATGTCCCTTACAAATTCCCTGAAAATCCCCATAATTGCTCATGATAAGAAATTTATTTTTTCCATTTCTATTCCGCTTAGTTGAAATACAAGAACAGTTTATCAAGTGGAATCGAGAGTAGGATCCAATGCAAGGTTACATTAGTTGATTTTAGAGCTAGAACTAATGATTGGTTTTCGGTAATCCAGAATGCAGGGGTTTAAACTAACCTAAACCCGCATTTGATATTATTACCTTATTGATAAAAAAAAAAACCTTTTTAGGAAATTAAAACAAAATATAACACTGTATAATACCAAGAATAATACACGTCATGTATGTAGCTACTTTTTAAACAACTTAGGTAGGTATGTATATTGTTTCACAATATTCAGGATAGGTATATGGTATATCCTCGGGTATATCCTATTCACAATCCGTAGTCCAAAGGTAAAGGTAAATCTAACACCTTTCCCTATCAAATAGCACTGAAAGGTGATGAATGTTACCTTTACCTTTGGACATCGGATTGTGAATAAATAATATATGGTTTCTTTTTATTTTAAATGGACCTTTTCCTAAAAGTTGAACAAGTTTTCGAGACGATAAACAATAAATTCAATCGAGAGTAGTAAATAACAACATGAAGAATCTTGAAAATCAACCTACAATAACTGAATTAATTGAAAATACAGTCTCACACATTTCAAAGTTTTTCTGGAAAACTAGTGAAGAGAAAATTTTGGAACTTTTTGCATGTAAAGAGGAAGGCGAGTAGCTCATTTTACCAAAATTTTAAATTTTTCCAGTAGAAAATAACAACATGAAGAATCTTGGAAATCAATCTCCAATAACTGAATCAATTTAAAATACAGTCTTACACATTTCAACATTTCAAAGATTTCCTGGAAAACTAGTGAAGGGAAAATTTTGAAACTTTTCGCATGTAAAGAGAAAGGGGAGAAGCTCATTTTCCCAAAATTTCAAATTTTTCCAGTGGAAAATAATTACATGAAGAACCTTGGGAATCAACCTACGATAATTGAAAATACTGTCTCACACAATTCAAAATTTTTCTGGAAAACTAGTGAAGGGAAAATTTGGAAACTTTTTGCATATAAAGAGGAAGGTGAGTAGCTCATTTTCCCAAAATTTCAAATTTTTCCAGTGGAAAATAACAACATGAAGAATCTTGGAAATCAATCTCCAATAACTGAATCAATTTAAAATACAGTCTTACATATTTCAACATTTCAAAGATTTCCTGGAAAACTAGTGGAGGGAAAATTTTGAAACTTTTCGCATGTAAAGAGAAAGGGAAGAAGCTCATTTTCCCAAAATTTCAAATTTTTCCAGTGGAAAATAATTTCATGAAGAATCTTGGGAATCAACCTACAATAATTGAAATAATTAAAAATACTGTCTCACACAATTCAAAGTTTTTCTGGAAAACTAGTGAATGGAAAATTTTAAAACTTTTTGCATGTTAAGAGGAAGGGGAGGAGCTCATTTTCCTAAAATTTCAAATTTTTCCAGTAGAAAATAACAACATGAACAATCTTGGAAATCAACTTACAATAACTGAAATAATTGTTAATACAGTCTCACACAATTCAAAGTTTTCCTGGAAAACCAATTAGGGGAAAATTTTGGAACTTTTTGCATATGAAGAGGAAGGACAGAGGCTCATTTTCACAACATTTCAAATTTTTCCAGTAGAAAATAACAATATGAGGAATCTTGGAAATCAACCTATAATAAATGAATTAATTGAAAATAAAGTCGCACACATTTCAAAGTTTTCCTGGAAAACTAGTGAAGGGAAAATTTTGAAACTTTTTGCATGTAAAGAGAAAGGCGAGGAGCTCATTTTCCCAAAAATTCAAATTTTTCCAGTGGAAAATAACAACATGGAAAATCTTGGAAATCAACCTACAATAACTGAAATAATTGTTAATACAGTCTCACACAATTCAAAGTTTTCCTGGAAAACCAATTAAGGGAAAATTTTGGAACTTTCTGCATATGAAAAGGAAGGGGGAAATGAGCTTCTACATTTTCCCAAAATTTCAAATTTTTCCAGTAGAAAATAACACGAGGAATCTTGGAAATCAACCTATAATAACTGAATTAATTGAGAATACAGTCTCACACAATTCAAAGTTTCCCTGGAAAACTAATCAAGAAAAAATTTTGAAACTTTTTGCATGCAAAGAAGAAAGTGAGAAGCTCATTTTCAGAAAAAATCAAATTTTTTCCAGTGGAAACACTCGGGAAAACAGCAACATGAAGAATCTTAGAAATCAATCCACAAAAACTGAATTAGTTGAAAATACTGTCTCACACATTTCAAAGTTTTCCTGAAAAACTAGAGGAGGGAAAATTTTGAAACTTTTTGCATGTAAAGAGGAAGGTGAGAAGGTCATTTTCCCAAGACTTCAAATTTTTCTAGTGGAAAATAACAACATGAAAAATCTTGGAAACCAACTTACAAAAACTGAAATAATTGTTAATACAGCCTTACACAATTCAAAGTTTTCCTGAAAAACTAATCAAGGGAAAATTTTGAACTTTTCACATGTGAAGAGGGAGGTTAGAAGCTCGGTCAGAGGCTCATTTTCTCAAAATTTCAAATTTTTCCAGTGGAAAATAACAACATGAAAAATCTTGGAAATCAACCTCCAATAAATGAATTAATTAAAAATACTTACACATTTCAAAATTTTCATGTAAAACTAGTGAACAGAAAAATGTGAAACTTTTTACATGTGAATAGGAAGGTTAGAAACTCATTTTCCCAAAATTTCAAATTTTTCCAGTGGAAAATAAGAACATGAAGAATCTTGGAAATCAGCCTACAAAAACTGTACTCATTATTGTTTTCAATTTTTTAAATTTGGACCTGTAAATCATGAAGTGAACTTTTGGGAGAATTTTTTTAATGAAAATAAATGTCCAACGTTCAACAAAAAACTAGATTTTTTTAAAAATTTCCATTTATTAGTGTTTCTTATAATAAGAGTGTGAATTTCAGTGACGTCATGACTCTACAATTTCCTTTAAATTCCTCATAAATTTCCTAAATTCCTCACAAATTCCTTCAAATTCCCCATAAATTTCTCTGAATTCCCTATAAATTCCCCAAATTCTCATAAATTCCGATGAGTTCCTTCAAATTCCCCACAAATTCTTCTAAATTCCCCACAAATTCCTCTAAATTCCCTACATTTTTGGCAAAGAATTCCTAGGTGGTTTGCCCTTTGATCAAGGTAATTGAAAAATTGAAGTTTCTCAGAAACGCCACAAATTTGTGACTGTGCCTTTGAGTTTCTTGTTTCTCTCAATCATATCATATCAAGTATCTTCGAGATTTGGACGTTTTTCTCAATTCTAGAAATATTTATTATTTATTTGCGTTCAAAAGATGAACAATAGAAAAACCTAACCCTTTCTGGTATGATACAAAGAATTTACTTATGTACCTTAAACTATGAAAAAGAAATTGTTATTGACCATGATGCTGGTTGCTTTACTCAAAAAATATCATGGGCATACGGCATACTCTTTTAATCATCCTTAGTAACAACTTATAACAAAGAATCAGTGAACTCACTTCATTCATCTTATTGGTTTGACCAAGCTAAGATGAGAAAAATTCTTGTGTCAGTTCAATCATCGATTGAATTCTATGGTTTCAGAATCTACTTACTTTTAAAAGTATTACTGTGTATGTTGTTGAAAATCTGTGCAATGTTCCATGTATACCTCACTCTAATTTAAGTTTTGGATACATCTGCCTAACTTAGAAAGTGAAGATGAGCAAAAAATAAAAAGTGAAAGTACATTCACAATAAAAAAATTATGAATTAAACTCAGTAACAATTAATTTGCTGTTTAAATTAGATTTTTAATTGCATATACTGCAAAATAGTTTTATGAGAAAAACAGGTTCTACATTGAATATATCAAATAATATAATTAATTCTGTAAAACTATTCGCAATTACAACAAAATTAGTTAATCGGTTCCTGGTTTTAAGTTATTTGTTCATTATTTGCAACAAAAATTGGTCTACTTAAGTTCCACAGTTGACATTTCACTTAGCTCAGTTATTTGTCCTAGACAATTTGCTATTTGTTATTTAAATTTAATTCTCACTCTTGTGCGCCATTGTCTATTTATAGACGTTTTTTTTTCTTTCAAATGAATTATCTATTTTATTTCAGTTGTATTTTGTAAAAAAACTATAAGAAAACCACCATAAACTTTTAAATAAAATGTAGGCATGGCATGAATAATGCAAAAGACCCAGTGGGGAACCGAATCAGCTGACTTTCCCTGCGTTAGGCAATGCACCATGAACACTGGAGGGAACTTGGAACGCCAGGTGTTTCTGTGAAGGCAATAATTGGACTGAATTATTCAATAAGATCGCTTGCACCTTTACTTTATTATATTTTCTTTGTGTTGTTTGGTAAGGGTCTGCAGACTTAAACCTTCCTACTTGCAATTAGACACCTGATCTTACGATTTATAGTGGTTATTAACCTATTAAAGTGCATTTAACCCTAACAGTCAAGTTTAGGATAGGTTAGAAATTCTACTTACTGTATAGATATTTTTGCGTCCTGTCGCGTGGTTTGGCAGCAAGCTATAGGATCTGCAAAAGAAGATAAATTATCAGTTATAATAGTGAGCAGGTCAAAAAATGACAATCTCTTTATACCGGGTGGTCCTCCGGGAATGACATCGATTGCTTATGGGAAAACTGTGAAAGGTAAAAATTTGAAAATTTGGCAACATAGCAATGTCGATGGGGGACATCCAGGTAAAATATTTTCAAGATGGCGGCATTTCCGGTCATACCGGAAGTTGATACCAACTCGGTTATTTTAAATAGAACACCCCATATATTAATGTATTTTTGGATTCTACATAAAATTCTGAGCAGATTTCATGTAATATACCCTATACCTAAGTTCAACTGTTTTGGAAATATTGACAGTTGAAAATTGACTTTTTGCAACTTTGACAAGCTGTAAAACCTAATTGGTTAATTTTAGAGGAAAACCGATTTCACATTCCTATCTTAGATTTTGATAAACTATCATTTGACACCAACTTTGAACTTAAACGGAGATTAAATTTAACTGAAATTTTTAATCATGGATTTAATTCAAAGTTGATGTCAAATGATAGTTTATAAAAATCTAAGATAGGAATGTCAAATCGGGTTTCCTCTAAAATTAATTGTTCAGGTTTTACAGCCTGTCAAAGTTGCAAAAAGTCAATTTTCAACTGTCAATATTTCCAAAACAGTTGAACTTAGGTATAGGGTATATTACATGAAATCTGCTCAGAATTTTATGTAGAATCCAAAAATACATTAATATATGGGGTGTTCTATTTAAAATAACCGAGTTGGTATCAACTTCCGGTATGACCGGAAATGCCGCCATCTTGAAAATATTTTACCTGGATGTCCCCCATCGACATTGCTATGTTGCCAAATTTTCAAATTTTTACCTTTCACAGTTTTCCCATAAGCAATCGATGTCATTCCCGGAGGACCACCCGGTATAATCAGTTAAAACCATCATAAAGACTTTTTTTAGGTCAACAGTAATCCATTGAAATCTGTGACTTTACTGCCTCAGACGTACTAATATATAGTATATATTAGCCCTAAGGCGTTAATTAAAAACCACTGTACAGTATTAAAATATTAAGGACAATGACCCAATTTTCTAATTTCCAAGCCACATCAAAAATGTTGAATATTTGATCCTATTTACTCCATCTATGCAATACTTTTTGAAATAGGATGAAATTTTCTTGCACCATAAAATAACTGCCTACAAAATATGTTTCCTCGACTCTATAGGATTGGGATTACCCAAGCGTTTTATTACTGCTCACTGAAACCTTACAATGTTTTAACACTCCTTAATAATTATTCATTAAAGGTTCTTTTTAGAAAAAGACCTCGAGCAGTTATCAAAAATATTTATCAAAACCTTGTCTGTGTCCTTTGATGTATGTAAAATTTAATGATAATATTGCTTCATAGTCAAGGTTCGGTTATGTCACAACCTGTACAGAAACACAGTTAAGGATAAATGTGTTTGGAATTATCATGGCAATTTAGTCAAATATACCTCAAAGTAGGTGTTTTCATTTTACTGATTTATCAAAACCGAGATTATTTTGGTAAAACCAATCCGCTTATTAGTCCAAGAAACGGAGATCTGAAAAGAGGGGTTACCTCAACATAATTAGAAGTTGAAATTTTTTTGGAGGGATCGGTTGATTCTAATATGCGAAACAACATATTAAGTTTGCGACCTTGTACTTCCATAGGGTTTTCAGTTAGGGGTGGTTTTTAGGGGTAATTTGAGGTTTATGGAGAACGCTGCTCAAAAGGATGGTCCAATAGCAAAAAGTTTCAAATTAATGTTGTAGCTGAAGCTTTTTGCTATAAAAAACTCAGCGACAGCATCCCTCTATCTTCTATAGTTTTTTTTCTGCAGCGTCTTGAATAGTAGCATGTTTTTGTTCAAGGTCACTGAATCAACATTTTGCCATTTTGCGCGCATTTGTTGCAGCAGCGGCCGAATGCATAATCCGATTTCAATTTTTCAAACACCACATTATTGCTAATGAAATGCACTCTCCAATGCTTTTTTGTTCGAATTTTTTGCTTGAAAATTAAGCGAGCACGGACTTGTCTAATGTGCGAGGAAGTTGTAAATTGCATCGAAAACTACCCCTTTCTTGCATTCACTCTAATTTCTTAACGGGGCCAAATATTTGGTGACAGTTTTCGACAATCGGCAGCCCATTTATTCTTCTCATAATGCCCCAGCGGATTTTTTTTTTCGTCAATTATTCAATGACTTATTGGCCTGAAAACGTCGCGCGGGATTTTTCAAAAAGTAAAAAAAAAATAAAATTGTCGCATAGCGCTGAAATTTGGTACGATGGCCTTATTTATTGTTTTTACGAATATAATGCAATTTTAATTGCTTCACATGATATAAAATTGCAGTATATTCATGAGAACAATAAATAAAGCCATCGTACCAAGTTTCAGCGCTATGCGACAATTTTAATTTTTTTTTACTTTTTGAAAAATCCCGCGCGACGTTTTCAGGCCAATAAGTCATTAAGTGATTAACGGAAAAAAAAATCCGCTGGGGCATTATGAGAGGAATAAATGGGCTGCCGATTGTCGAAAACTGTCACCAAATATTTGGCCCCGTTTAGAAATTAGAGTGAATGCAAGAAAGGGGTAGTTTTCGATGCAATTTACAACTTCCTCGCACATTAGACAAGTCGGTGCTCGCTTAATTTTCAAGCAAAAAATTCGAACAAAAAAGCATTGGAGAGTGGATTTCTTTAGAAATAATGTGGTGTTTGAAAAATTGAAATCGGATTATGCATTCGGCCGCTGCTGCAACAAATGCGCGCAAAATGGCAAAACGTTGATTCAGTAACCTTGAACAAAAACATGCTACTATTCAAGACGCTGCAGAAAAAAAACTATAGAAGATAGAGGGGTGCTGTCGCTGAGTTTTTTATAGCAAAAAGCTTCAGCTAAAACATTAATTTGAAACTTTTTGCTATTGGACCATCCTTTTGAGCAGCGTTCTCCATAAACTGCAAATTACCCCTAAAAACCACCCCTAACTGAAAACCCTATGGAAGTACAAGGTCGCAAACTTAATATGTTATTAAGCACATGAAAATGAACCGATCCCCCCCAAAAAATGTTAACTTCTAATTATGTTGAGGTAAACTTCCTTCATTGCTTGGACTATATACAAAGTAATGTTTTTCAATTCAATTCACGATAAATTTAATTTTTCTAGTCAAAATATTGTTGAACATTTATGCATAAATAACCCCATAAATAAATATTTACTTCAACCTTGCATCAAACGGAGTGTGAAAACTTTTGTCTGTCATAAACAGAGATTTCTATTTTCAATTGAACAATTACTAGAAGATCAAGTGTAATTTTTAAATTAAATATTTTGAAATTTTGCAGTTAAAACCCTTCATATAGGATGATAAATTTAATCATAAAATATTGAATAATAAACTACAACCTCTCTTGAGGGCCTTATTGTGAAACTACTTATACAGCTTTCCTATATAGTAATATTTCGCTTTCACTGCTGGTTGTGCGATTATAGTTCAGATCCGTTACGTTATGCATTCGGAACAAGCTACTCCACTCAACAAGAAAAATAATGAAATTCGTGATTGCTTCATCATACCATGCCTGCTTGGTTTCCAATCGAATCTATATAAAATGTGGGAAATACAATTTCGAATCATCAATAAAATTAAATTGGTTTTTTGGTGGAATTTGGCTATAGTTTTTGTCGAGGTTCAACAGGTGGTAAGATTTATTTTAAATTTGGCAAACGAATTAATCCACATACTTAGGTATATGATTCAGAAATTAAAAGTTTTTTACTTCTACACCGACTACACCTCATTATGAAACAATAAGGACTTGCAAGTGAAATAAAAATTTCCAAATTTTTTTTTAAATAATAATAGTTTATACTGCACAAAATATTAATATGACCAGTTTTTATTTTACTGATACCGCCCTTGTTACAAAAAAATAATAAGAAATTTGAAATTAAAAATTTCCTGCAGAAACAATATTTCCATTATGGCTGCTTTCTTTGACGTCACGATTCCGTAAACAAACCTGTCAATAGGGAACTTGTGAGTGGAATAGAATTTACAAAAGCACTCCTTTACAATATCATTCATCCAATGCAATAAATTTCACAAAAAGCAAACAAATAACACAAAAACAGCATTGCGTCAGCAGGTGTTGTTTGTTGCCTTTGTTGTTTATGAAATATTGACGTCACGAGCCACGTCATATTGAAAACACGCGTTTCCGCTAACTCATTTTTCATTCAAAGAACCCATTAAAACCCCAAGTATACCAGGAAAAAAATATTGCCATAACAAGCAAGTATAGATAACTAGTTTAAGTATAGGTTTTCTGGACACTACACAAAAAAACACACTGCTCTTTGTGCTTCTATTTCTATTCGCTTTCTCTCTTATCATGCAATGTCAATAAACAAATAATTGCTGTTTGGTAAACAGACAGAATCCATTTACTTAAAGTGTTTTTGAACAACAAGCTTGATTGGAAAAATGAACATTGGACTGGCTAATCAGAATATAAGCTTATTTGAAATAATAATTCAGTGTCAACGAATGAAAAATGTTGATAAAAGCTAATAGACTTTGCTAATACCCTAATTTGAGGTAAAAGTCAGAGTACGTAAACAACGAACATAATGAAAATTATTATATTGAATTTGGCATGGAGTGTTTTCCACACATCAACTGTTTAGAGAGCAACCCAAGTGCTTAATACAATTTTTCCTGTTGAAAAGCGATTTACGGGTTGGTACTGATTGTGGCTTAGTGCAGTGCAAGGGGCGGCTCAATTGCGAAATCGCTGTATATTTTCATCCAAAATCACGTGAAATTCTTTCGAAATCCTTTGGAAATCTCAAAATCCATTTGAAATCGCGAAATGCGAAATTCCATCTGAAATCCAGAAGTCCCTTAAAAATGATTGAAATCCCCTGGCATTTCCGAAATCGATGTGCTTAC